TGGGGTCCTATGCGGATGCCTCGATATTACCTGAATGTTAATTATGGATTCTTCTGCTAGCCACAACTAACCAGATTATCATAATTAATATTGAGGCAATATCGAGGCATCTGAGTAGGAGCTCATATGCCAATAGAGGTAGAACAATTCGATCCAACAAAACAACGGAGAATAACAAGTTTGTCAGTAAAGAGTAAGAATTGCATGGCTTATATTCAAAGAAGTTAAGGCTGAATTTCAATTTAGCGTAAGCTTAAACTATCATCATTGGATCCTACAACTAATTCCACACACACATACACACAAAAAGGAATTTGTAGCAATTAGTGATTATACTACAAGAATTACCCCTCCCCCCCTCAAGATAGGAATGTATAATATGCGTAAGCATTAATGAATTAGATTGGCTTTCATATACTTACCTTCATTACTTTTGTGTTCTCATACTCTTTTCTTATCGATTTCCTAATAATAGTAATCAATAAACTGAAGATAATTATTAGTTTAAGTAAACATAATTTATGATCAACTGTCATAACTTGTAACAATAGAGAGTGTATTGGCTAACAATAGAGAGTGAAGTGATTGAGTGTGTCGACCACTTCACTTACCTGGGAAGTGGAATCGGCCCTGGTGGATCAGTTGCCAATGAAATCTTTGCACGGATACAAAAGGTTCGATTGGCTTTCGCCAACTTACGCCACTTATGGCTCCTCCGTGATATCCGTTTGTCTATTAAGGGTCGCGTGTACTGCACAGTAGTCTGGTCTGTTCTACTGTATGGCTGTGAAACACGGCCATTGAAGTTGGAAGACATGGAAAGGCTTCAAGTCTTTGACCACCGTTGCCTTCATAGTGTATGCCGTATTCCATGGTGTCACCACGTGAGTAACACAGACGTCAGGTATAGAGTTTTAGGGAGTAGAGGCAAATCAGTTGACAAGGTTATGAACCTTCATCGACTGAGATGGTTAGAACACGTGTTACATATACCTGGTCACCGATTGCCTCGTCATACAATGTTGGCCGAAGTAGGCCGAGGCTGGAAAAAGGCCTGAGGTGGCCAGACTAGAACATGGCACCAGTGCATGAAGTCTCTGACTGTTGGCTTGAGCCATGTGGGGCGATGTAGACTTGGTGGTAGGGGTCCGCAGGACAAGAGGAACCAGTGGTTGGAGACTCTAGGTGATCATATGGCTCAAAACCGATGTCAGTGGCGCAGATGTATGCACACACACACATTATCCTCATCTTAACGGTGTTATACCGAATCTCATCATTTTGTCATTCCTCTTTTCTTTCCTCTCGTACTTTATGTTTCTTTTGACTGAATTTTCTTATCTTCATCATTCACCTCACTACCTTTCTATTCGATATGATATGAGGTGTGTCAACTCGGACCGTTATGTAGTAATGCCTGGTCCTATGTTAATATTGATGATGATGACGTCATAACTTGTTTACCTACTTGTATTTATCACTTATTTAAGAGAGAAAAGTAAAATTCTGTCTGGAGGTTTATGGAGATTTATTAATCTATTTCAGGTTGAAATTCATCATAGACTGACACTAGTTGGAGGAACACTGGGAACCTGGGAGCACTGAACAGCTGACTGTTTCCCCCTAGTATGGGACTCTTCAGCGGTGCGCGCCCCATGATGAATTCCAACCTGGAACCAATTAATACACCTCCCCAAACCTCTAGATAGAATTAATCTAGCGCCCATTAGTGACTAGCTTGGAGAGGCGTAATTCCCGAAGTTCCAGTGAGAAGTTCTGACTAGTGGAGTCAACCAACTCAAACATGATGACAGTTATCCAATGATGACATTGGATGTAGGTCGTGCTATATCGTGAACTGACAGAAGTCGGAAATATGGACAGTTGGATTGCGACCAAGTGACTCAATGGTAATGCGCTGACCATGGGACCTGAAGGTTCTAAGTTCGATCCTCGGGGTTACGGATTCATGAGTGCACACTGCTGAAGACTGCCATACTAGGACGAAATGGCCAGCTGTCCAGTGCTCCCAAGTTTCCAATGTTCCTCCAACTGATGTCAGTTCACGATGTATGCCAACCTAGAAAATTAAAATTATTTGACTCAATAGTTCATAATGCAACTTATTTGGTTTTGTCACGTGTTATCTAGATAAGTGAAGTGGGGATTCACACTGTACAAACTTATATAATTATGTAGAATTATGATTTGACTATCTGAAATAGCCATGATTTAGTTGACTTGTCTTATTGATACTTGGTGATGATTGAAGGTGAAATGAAAATTTAGGCTACAGTCGGTTCTCATTACTTGATAATTGGTAGAGCACAGAGCTCAAGAATCGATGATCACTGGTTCATATCATATCGTGGTTTAAAATTTCATTCCACCTTCAATTATCACCCTATGTTGATCTTTTTGCTCAAAATTTAACTAATTTTAAAGTTTCTCTTCATTTTAGATTTTAATATACAACTATAATACTTCTAATATCAAGTTAAATGTTAGTTGTAATTGGTCTAACCTTGATATAAGAGTAAAATTTGGGCACTATGATAGAGTGTACTTCCATTTTAGTTGATTTGTTAGATGTATCACATGTAATCCAGTTAATAATACTATTCTACTTTATGATACATCTGATGAATCAGCTAAAATAGTTTAATCTTGTAAAGATGAAATGGATTAAGTTTACAAACCTCTTCTTATTTTATAATTCTAGACGATTTCAAAATAATTAATACATGACAATATAAGGATATAGTTTGAATTTTCATATTCAGCAACCAGCTAAGCTCAACAGAATAAACTAACGACTTTTATTGTGTTTAGATCTACTATCTGTAAATGCATATTTAATATTAAATCCTCTCATTTCTTTATTATTATCCCTTGGGTTCCTAGTGGAACATAGGACTTCTCTGCAATCTTTTCAACCTGCCTCCACGACTGCCCACAAGCTCTCATTTCTTCCTCACATCATCTCTTTCATGTTACCCTCACCTAGGATGCCCAACTCGTCGTTTCCCTTCGCGGTTCCACTCCAGTGCTTGGCGCGTGATGTCCCCGAATAGTTTTCTCAGTGCATGCTCAATCAATATCCACTTTCTTCCAGTGCATATTTGTTGAGCGATAGGTTGTTGCTTAGTTGGTTTGTTGACAGGTCAGCCAGAGTTCCTTGTTGCATATTCTTGTTATTCTGGTCATCTGAGCTTCAGTAAGGAGCGTAGGCAGTTGCTGATGAATATCTGTAGTTTGTTGGAAATGCTTTTCGTGATGCGCCAAGTCTCTGAACCATCACATAGAAGCACTGACCTGGCTGAATTAGTGTTGAAAATGCGGATGTTGTTCACACTTTATGCTGAGTGCAGTTGCAGTAGATCTCCACACTGGTTTCAGGTTAACGAACGCCTGTCTTGCTGTCTTTCCGATTCTGGCCTTGACGTCTTCGTCTGTGACGCCTGTAGTTGAAATAGTGCTGCCTAGATAGGTGAAAGAGCCTGTTGTTGTTGTTGTTGGTGGTGGTGTTGGTTGGGTATCTTCATCACCTCTGTTTTCTCTACGTTCACTTGAAGTCCCGTCTTCGCTGCTTCGCCTCTTCTGTCAACTTGTTAGTTTTTGCCTGTAGATCTCCTAGTTAGTGTGACATTAGACACAAGTTATCGGTGAAATTCGAATCTTCTAGGATCTTTTCCACGGTCCAGCGTATGCCCCTCTTCTCGCTCCTCATAGTTTGTCGTATGATCCAGTCCACTACAATCAGGAATATCATGGGTGATAATAGACAGCCTTGTTTTACTCCTGTCTTCACTTCACTTCAAAGGCATCACTGAGCTTCCCATTGTGAATTACTTGGCATGTGGCGTCTTCATATAGTTGTCGAATGAGGTTGATGAAGGTTTGTGGTATTCCGTAGTATTGAAGCAGTTTCCAAATTACCTCTCGGTCGACGCTGTCGAAGGCCTTTTCAAAATTGATGAAGTTGAGGTAGAGACCCAGTTGATTGGCATTCTGTGCTCTATTCTATGATGATGCGTAGCGTTGCAAGTACCATAATGTCATTTTTATGTTCGCTTCATAGTCAACCGTAATTATATGAATTTATACTCGGTGATGATTAAAGATGAGATGAAAATCTAGACGGCGGTTGGATTCGAACCAGCGGCCACTGGGTTACCGGCCCATACTCTACTAATTGAATTACGAGATCCGACTGCTGACCAGAATTTTATTTCACTTCAATCTTTAAGGGTTCAGACGGCCGTGATCAAGATTTTTATCTCACTTTCAATCATCACCCAGTATCAGTACTAGTCTATCAAACTACGGCTACTATCGAAGATAGTCAAAATGATAATTATATGAACTCTGGCAACGAACCAACCAACAACCTGTTGCTGAACAAATATGCAGAAGTAAGTGGGGATGGATTGAGCATGCACTGAGATGACCATTCGGGGACATCACGCGTGAGGCCAGGCACTTGAGTGGATCCCAGATGGGAGTGAACGAGTTGGGCGTCCGAGGAGATGGTGACATGGAGGAAATCGTATGATGAAGAAATGAGAGCTTCTGTGATGTCGTGGAGCCGGATTCGAAAGATTACAGAGAAGAGAGTGGAATGGAGACGTGCCACTGAAAGTGTGTGTTCCACTAGGAACCCAAGGGACAAATAATCATAATAATGTGTTAAGTCACTTATACGTGGTCGTTTTGCTTATGTTTGGATTTGAAGCCTATCGGTTAGCAGTTAAATAGGTAAAATATAAAACAGTTAGTGGTTGGGCTGTAAAAATTCTCATTTATACGTCTATATTATGTAACTGTTATACAATCAATTGATTATATCAATTATCTTTTATCCTTTCAGAAATTATCGCAAATGGTCAGTTCAAGGCATATATATATATATGTATATATTCTACATCTCTATTATCAAAAATAACATCGGAGATCATTGAAAAATAAAACATCACCATATCATTTAGTAGCATAATTAAATGCTTCGGTGGTTCTGTAAAAAAAAACATGATACATCACCACGTCTTATTTATCCAACTACATTGATTGAATTGAATAAATTTCAGCTTGAAACAGATTTATCTAATCCAAATTATAAGTATACATCGAATTATATTAAAACAACAAAATATACATTATGGACATTTTTACCATTAAATTTATGGAACAATTTCATCGTTTTGCTAATATCTATTTTGTATTATATTAATATTGAATTTTATTCCCGATGTTGGTGCATTCGCTAAAGAAGTGGCACCAATCCCTGTTATTATTACATTATCTGTTGTTGCTATCAAGATGCTTACGAAGATTTTAGAAGGTATCTATCAGATCGTAAAGTTAATAAGAAACCATGTGAAGTGTATTCTGTGTAAGTTTGACTGTTGATTATTCATTTTATCCTAGTAACAGGTTTATTAACTGTAACAAGTATATGTTAATGTTGTACTGTTCACTGAACTGTAGTCTTGACTGCTGAGTTTTCAGTATTGTACTGGAGACTTTTTAATCGATTCATCTCTGGTCAGTCTCGAAATCCAATAATGTAATTCCTATTTCAGTAATATGTTTTGGTTCAGAATCGGAATCCATTCAGCAACCTTGTACATGACAAATAAACCAACATCGCTGGCACGACAGACCGTAGGGTATGGTCGAGTGTGTTATTTTTGGCCCCGACCTTTTCTAACCCCTCCCCGCTTCCACTGAGAAGGCAGCATCAGCATGGCACTGCTGGTCATCCAAGGGAAACACCTTACTGCTGTCGCACCCCATCCAGCGAGCAGCAGTACGATTTCGCCCTCAGATCCCCATCATAGTGTAGTAATTTACACCACAACGGTAACTGCTTTTCGTCTAACCACTATCCAACAGACCTTTCTGGTATGGTAGGACCTCGAGGGAACAAGTGTTCCATCAGCATAGCTCGTTTGGTCATTGTGATATGCTAGCCCGACCATCACGTCAAGGTAACAGCTATCGGTTGGGCCAGACTAAAACATGGCATCCATTTATAAAGTCTCTGACTGTTGGTTTGAGCCATGCGGGACGATGCCGACACTAGCCGGTTGGGGTCCGCGGGACAAGAGGAACCAGTGGTTGGAGACTCTAGGTGATCATATGGCTCAGAACCGATGTCAGTGGCGCAGATGTATGCACACACACACACACATTATCGTCATCTTGACGACGCTATACCGAATCCCACCATTTTCTCCGTTTCTCTCTTTTCGTACTTTGTATTTCTTTTGATTGCATTCTCTTATCTTCATCTTGCGCCTCACTACCTTTTTACTTGATGTAGTGATATGAGGTGTGTCAACTCGGACCGTTATGCAGTAATGCCTGGTCCTAGGTTGATCTAGATGGATGGATGGATTTTGTGCTAAGCAATATTCGTAAACAATGTTTTCAATGTGTATTCCTTATTGATAGGTCATAATTTTCCTTCATTCCAATCAGTTGTTCAAGGAGTCTAAACTTTTACATTGTTGAATGTATACAAAAACTTGGAAAATTTGTCAAGTTGTTACACAGTATGTTGAGTTTTTCTTCGAGAAGCATTGGATGGGTTTTCAACTATAGATGATCACTTGGTTATTATCTGATTGACGTATCAAGTTCAAAGTGTTATAAATGATATTTATAAAGAACTTATACTGAAGATACCATTGCTCATTTCCTATTTCCAACCGTAGAAAAATGACCAAAGTGTACAGAGTAGAGGATTTATCACAGCTATAACGTCATTTGTTCACCTTACTTTAATACAGAGCTGTTGCGTGTTGATCTGATCACTCGACCCCTAATCAATGAATCATAAATCCTAACCTCTCTCCACTTATTGACTTCTGAGTAGGGAGATAGTATTAGTAACCGTCATACGATAAGTATGATCCATGGCCTACTACCCAAACATGCGCGTGGCTTCTGAGAGTATTTAAATCCCTTTTTTTAAAACTCATCTTAACGTTTTTCACCACACCGTGCATTTGTTTAGATATTGTTGGAATCCAGACTGATAAGTATTCAGGTTTACATTCTATACTGCACCAAACCAGTAATTCAAAGAACTATGGTTGGAAATTAACTTTAATTTCAAGTTTTAATTTCATCACAGTAACCTTAATATATTCATATTTCTGTGTAACAGTATAACATTTGTGTATCTTTGGGTGAAAGGTCAAATAGTTGCTTTTGAAAAAAAAGTTGGAATTGTAACAAATACTACCGACTGATTCAGTCCAATCATCGACAGGATAATACAAGTAATAACATAAAAACTATATCCATCTCACAAAAAATGGCTATCGTAACTCAGTCGCCTAGTGAACAATGCTATGCCATTTAAAGAGAACGGTCCCAGATTCGAGTCTTAGTGGGAACAACATCACTCATTTGGAGGCAAGCATATCTGGCTGACGAGCCTTAAATTGGATGAAACGCACATCGTGGATTCATCTGTTAGTCAGTTTCCATCATTAGTATATGCAAAACATAGGTCAACATATTCGTTTGATATGAACTTTTATAATTCCAAAATGTTAATTTTTGCTAGTGTAGAAAAGGTCTAAACACTGAATAGCAATCAGTTCTACTGTCAGGATACTGAGATTATGCATTAATGAGCTAGGATGTGTCCTATTGAGTAATAAGAGTAGTCAAGGCAGTTACAAATCAATAATCATAGGTGTGTAGCAACCATGGGTTTATCAACTTCATTTCACAAAGCACTAGGGTCTTATCATTGAGACATCCTAGTGATGTAACTGAAAATTGATATAAGTTATCAAGACGAATTAATACTTTATCTAGTCAATGAACACGAATCTTGGAGCATCCAAGAACTTATTATTCGTTCATTTCATGTTGACGTCTGTTTTCTTTTTAACCTTCCATATCGCTTTGGTCTGATCAGTATCAGTAAGTTATGAAGAATTATTCAGATCAATGTTTATAGTTTGCCATCTTAGAAAAATTAATTTAACGGACCAACTGTCCATATTTTTTTGAAGCTATACTGTTTGAAACATTGAATAATTCAGTATTGAATTAGTATTTTCCAAAAGAAATCGTATTAGCATGAAATATAGAGAGTTAAGACTGTTGTTACATACAGAATGACGTGAGTTTTATTTCTGGAAATTCTATATATTTTCTTTACTCTGAAGTCGTATAAAAATCGTTAGGCTGTAGTTCATTGACTTACGTAGTCAAATTTTAGCGAATATACGGCGAATTCCAAGATTAATCCACTTAAGAGCTCAAGTTCTCAAACAACAGGTGGGACCCTTTGCCTACTGTATGAATTTGAATGCCGTGACCGAATTGCTCAGCTAAGTTATATATATATATATATATATATATATATATATATATATATATATATATATATATATATATATATATATATATATATATATATATATATATATATATATATATATATATATGCACAGAGGAAGCTAACAGGAGCTTCTTCTCCTTCTATTTTCGCGTTTCCTGCTGACGTTGTCAAAGTTACTAAGTCAGGCCAGCTCTAATGGACCAAAGTTGTACAAAAAGCTCGACTGGTTTTTACCAACTTATACCATCTACGGAATCAGCAAGATGTTCGATTACCTATTGAAGATTGAATACACCAAGCAGTTGTTTGATGCATTCTATTAAACGGCTGACGAACAAGTCTATTAGCAATACAAGAAATGAGAAGGCTTCAGGTTTATGGCCACCGATATCATCGCAGAATAGACCATGAATTGTGATGTCACCACGTCAATGATGCACAAGTAAAACATAGAGTTCTAGACAGAAGAAGTCTACCAGTTGATGAGAACAAGAACCTTCATCGACTCAGATGTCTGCGATATGTGCCATAGATTCTTATTCAACATCCACCTCGGCGCCCAAAGTTAAATGAAGTGAGTTTAAGCTAGAAGAACTTCAAAAGGGGTGAGAATAAAACACCACATCAATGCACTAAGCATTTGACGTTTGGTCTCTCATGATATTATAACCAATTACATTCATCATTGAAATCACACACCTAGGCGTAAATAAATCTCAGCAGCAACCCGTTTTTAGTTTCTAGTCATTCGAATGCCATCTGTTTGACCATCAGGTGCATAGAGAAACATCCAATATTTGGTTGCAATACAAACTGTTGTTGTGAACCACTCATATGGAACAGCAGTAAGCAGTAAACAAACCTAGACCACTTCACTGAAAACACCTGTTTATGATCATAACATATTATGATAGGGATGAGAGGGCATTTATGCACGTAGAAGTGATGATGACCATGAACGTTTCTTCCCCATATCAATCGAAAAAATCTCCTCAGTTCAATATTGTAGATGGTTGCAGTCAGTAACTATTATCCAAAATTTGCTGATATTCAGCATATTTTTGCAGCTCGTTACTTCAGTGACTACTTTTAACCAAGGCAATCGTACAATAAACTAGTGGGACGAAGCATTAATATATCAACAATATAAAGTTATCCCTAAATATGTCTGCACAAAATTTCAGCTATCACTTGTTTCAAGTTCTCCAAGCTTTGAGGACTATTCATGGACGTCTCACCAGCTGGTCAGGAAACTCCATCACCCCTCCCTTCTATATAAAAATTAGATAGCACCGAGGTTGAACCTCGGACACAAGTGCACTGCTCCAAATAGCCACAATTCATAGTAGTATACAAAGAACAAGTGGATGAAAAGGAGTGATATCAGGATAGACGTAGTTGAGTGAGACAATGAACAATTTGAAAACAAAGCTCAGTGCAAATATTCGAGCCTTAGGGTACGTCGAGGAGTGAATGCATCTGCGCCATTGTGACCGATTTTCAGATAAGTCGCTAAGAGTCATCAACCTCTAACTCCTATTTTCTCGGGAACCTCAGTCAGGCAGTCTACAACTCCTTACAGGATTCAAACCCATAGTGTGAATGTTCATCAACCTATGCCGTCTCACTCGATTAAGGTTCACAACCTCATCGACTGACATGCTTAGTACCCTTCGCCTAACTTGTGTTTTGCTATTGTGTTGATTTCACCATACACGAGCACTGCTAAGAAGACACTCACTGTCAATGGCCTGTAGTTTCTGCGTATCATCTACTTTTAACACTCATGCTTTGCAGCCACCTAACAGAACAAAACGGACTGTAGGTCAGTTTACTTGTTCATTCATAGATATTCGCATTTATCACCAGTAAGCACCACAGTTGACGCGAGTTGGCAAGCACTGAACGAGCCTTCTCAATCTCTGCTGAGATTTCATCAAAAAACTAGGCTTTTCGAGCTACTGTAATCTCCCAAGTAAGTGAAGTAGCCGACTAATTCCACACTTCACTCCCTATCCTTAAAC